GGGGGGGGGGTGGCAGATTTTTCTGTAAAGGTACTGCACACAGCCACAGTGTCACAGTTCTACTATAGTGGAAAAGCAGCCATAGATGATACATGAATAAGGAACATAACTGTTCCATAGACGTTATTTATAAAAATAAGTGGCAGGCAGATTTACCCACAGACAAGACAGTGCCAAGTCCTGGGCCAGGTACATTGCCATGTGATCTTCTCCTCTCTCCAGTCTTCCAGCAACCTGATCTGGTTGACCTCTCTGCTTTCTTTTTCCAGCTTAAATTCCCTACCAGGCCAAAGGTGCGAGTTCCCACCATCCCCATAACAAAGCCTCACACCATGAAGCCAGCTCCAAGGTTAACACCTGTGAGGCCTGCAGCTGCCTCCCCCATTGTGTCTGGAGCCAGGCGGAGAAGAGTGCGCTGTAGGAAGTGTAAAGCCTGTGTGCAAGGAGAGTGTGGTGTTTGCCACTACTGCCGGGACATGAAGAAATTTGGGGGGCCTGGACGCATGAAGCAGTCCTGTGTCCTACGACAGTGCTTGGCAGTGAGTGATCGATCTGGGTAAAAGACTCAGGGGAGGGGCGCCGGTGCCAGAGGGACTAGAATACAAGTGGTGTAGAGTTAGATTGTAGAACCAAGTGGAGTTACAATCTTCAGTTTGTCACCCTCTCCCTGGGTTCAGTGGGACGGGATGTAGTAGTGAAAATAATCTTATCACCCAACCCACCCAACTTTCAAACATGAGACCTGCCTTTGAAGAGCAATTTACTGCCTTAATCCCCTCATTAAGTGAGCTAGAAAGGCCCTGTAAGGCCAGAGATAAGCCAACTGAGAGTGGAATGGCCCTCTGTGGGGCTCTAGTTCCCAGGCAGTTGAGTCCCAGTATTCTTTCTGATAAAACCGTCTCTCTTACTACTTTGTCACCATACATTCCACATATTTACCAGAGAAAGGGAAGCTTGCAGTTAAAAGGTTCTAAGTCTGGTTTTTTGATCTGTCTTTGTCCTCTTGTAGCCCAGATTGCCTCATTCAGTTACATGTTCCCTCTGTGGAGAAGTTGATCAGAATGAAGAGACGCAGGACTTCGAAAAGAAACTCATGGAATGCTGTATCTGCAATGAGATAGTTCATCCTGGCTGCCTCCAGGTGAGGAAACACCCAAAGGCCCTGAGAGACAGGTAGGATACCTGTCACAAGAGGCTGTCGCCATCCCAACTGTGCACCCTCAGCTCTGTGGTCACATAATAGAGTGGTGTAATATCAGCCCATTGCTCAAATCATCAGCCTGTTGTTCACATGTCTACTGTGTTCCATGCTCTGTGCTAGACTTTGTTTTTGGGGTTTTTTTTGTGTTTTTTTTTTTTTGGTCTTCTTGAGACAGGGTCTCCCTGTAGACCAGGCTGGCCTTGAACTCACAGAGATCCATCTGCCTCTGCCTCCAGAGTGCTGGGATTAAAGGTGTGTGCCACCACACCCGGCCAGGAAAGAAGAGTATACAAAATAGACCAGTTCCTGCCCCTAGTGCACAGTGAGTCTTCTGGACACTGTATTTTAAGTTTCTGGGCCATTACCATAAAACTTCAGGGCCTGTTCAAAGATGCTTCAAGCTTTCAGGCATCTCTGCTACATCCCCATTTTATCTCTGGATATTAGTTCCCAAGGGGTGTTGAGGGGATTAGAATATCAGCTAACATTGTCTGTATCAGACTTAGCACATGGGTAAGCTTTTAAAAAGTAATAAGGTGCTGGGGGCTAGAGAGATGGCTCAGTGGTTAAGAACACTGGTTGTTCTTCTAGAATACCCGGGTTTGTATCCCAGCACTCACATGGCAGCTAACAACTGTCAGTAACTCCAGTTCCAGGGGCTCCAACAGCCTCTTCTGTCCTCTGGGTGTTGCATGACATGGGTGCACTTACCTACATGCAGGCATAACACACATACACATAAAATAAAAATGATAAATAATTTTTTTTTTTTAAGTAATAAGGAAGACTGGGCATAAGCATTTAATTCCAGCACTCCAGAGGCAGAGGCAGAAATGGCAGATATGTTAGGTTGAGGCCAGCCTGATCTACATAGTGAGTTCCAGGCCTGCTGGAGCTAAAAGGAGGCCCTATCTAATCATCATCATCATCATCTGGGCTTGGTGTCCTACACCTGAAATCCTACCACATGGGAGACTGAGACAGGAAGAACTTGAGGTCAAGGCCAGTTTTGGCCACATGTGAGACCCTGTCTCTCAAAAAACAAAACAAAGCAACAACAACAACAACAAAAAAAAAAAACCAGCAACAAAAAAAGTAAGAACATCAGAACTCAACCTCAGAGATAAAGTCAAAATAGTCTAACCTAAGTCTTGTGCTACCCAGATGATCCTGACATGCAGCCAGAACAGAGAATGAATGTTTTACATGCATTTTCTTTTTAATCTTTACAACAAGCCTGTGAAGTTGGATCTATCGTATTTAAAGTCTCAAGTACAAGAGTGACGGGCATGGTGACATACACACCTGTAGTCCCAGCTACTCGCCAGGTTGAGGTGGGGAAATTGCTTGAAACTATACAGTTTAAGGTCAGTCTTGATGATGTAGTGAGGACACATACATACACATATACAGTCTGAAATATAGAGAGATAATAGACTGATAGACTCTCATCTCAAAGTTGTATGGATGATGGGATGGATGTGTATGGGTGCTGGTACTTTCTTGGCTTTTCCAGTGTCAACTATTTTAGGATTACGACTTGACTGACAGCGATTATAAGACATTGTCACTGATGAGAACCTGTCCAATTTCAGAAAGATTAAAATGTGAAAAATATGCATCTTGGAATTGATAAAATAAAAGCCAAGTGTAAGTGGCGCATGCCTGTAGTCCCAGTTCTTGAGAGGTTAAGGCAGAAGTGTTGTGAGTTCAGGACAGCCTGAGCTAATATTGAGATGGTGTCAAGAAAGAAAAACAAGTGATATTTTCCCATGGTGGTGGATGGTTAATATGAAAAGTTCAGTGAGTACCGAGCACTTTCCTAAACAGTTTTTTTCCTAAACAGTCTCTCTCTGTAGCCCTGGCTGGCACAGAACTCACCTTATAAACCAGGCTGGCCTTGAATTTGTAGAGATCATCCTGCCTCTGCTTCCAGGTGCTGGGATTACAAGGGAATGCCACCATATCCAGCTTCGAACATTTTATATATTACCCAGTTAATTTAGTCCTTACCTCAGCCAGTGGTATACATGGTATCCTAGTTATATTATTGATGCACTGTTACATGTATTTACAATTTACAGTTGAGAGCACTGAGTCTTAGAAACAAGACCATTGGTCTCTGAATCTGTTCAGTCATTAGTTTGCCCAGCCACCAAGATCTCTCATTGACATGAGATGCTCAGGAGAAGGGACCCAAATCCACACTGACCCAGGCCCTTGAAAGTCTCCTCAGGAAGCCTGACTTTGGTCATTAGTAATCAAGTAGCTTCTAGCTTTCTTCTCATCTGTGTTACTGTGTGATGTAGAAGACAGGAGAGACTAACTTTTTTTTTTTTTTTTAACATTCCTATTTGCCTGTAGATGGATGGAGAGGGGTTGCTTAACGAGGAATTGCCAAATTGCTGGGAGTGTCCAAAGTGTTACCAGGAAGACAGCTCGGAGAAAGCCCAGGTAAAGGGAAGTCTGGTAGGTTGCTGTGTACTGGCCTTTACTAGGTATTCATGGGCTTTCTCTGACCCAGGAAGATTGTTTTGTTTTTGTTTGTTTGATATCTTTTTTTTTTTCCTTCATTTATATGTTTTTTGTTAGTTTTTGCTTTTGGTATTACTGCTGTTCCTCTTGGGATCTGCACATTCCTGAGGTCCTTTTATTCCCTAGAAAGGGGGAAAGCAGTATTGAGCTATTGAGATGGAGAATTAGGTATGCAGCTTTGTCCTGAGGAATGTTACTAGAGGGGAAACCCTGACCTGAGGCACTACTACTTGCTCTGTGTGTACTGGACCTTCTAGTTAAGCAGGTTTACATTTTTGTGTTTTCACTCTGCAGCCTTATTATAGACCTGCACAGCCTACGTATCCAAATGAGTCTTTTAGAGGCTGCTATTCCCCTCTGGGGAGTAGGAACTGCTCAATGACCTTGCCCAGGGTAGCTGAGGTTGCTGGCTTCATGGCCACCCATAACATCAGTGGGCCAAGAGGACTCTGGTTACTCACAGTGGCAAGGCAAGGCCTGCTGAGGGCACATGGGAGGTGGCTGCCTGATGTCAGTCTTGTAAGGACCTTGCACAGACAGGGGAAACAGGCATGAGGGAGCTTGCTCATCTTTTTATTTTTGCCATTTGAATACTAAAGTAGTTTAAGTTTCAATCTAAATACTTTTGGTGATGAGGGAGGTTTTGTGTACTGCTAAACTTAGTCCAAGTTCTTGGACTAGTAGCTTTTGCATGTGTCTTTACATGCTGTTGAAGATTGGCATAGCAGTTGTTGTAGAGGCTTGGCAGATGCTGTGCTCCAGTTACCCCCAGTACACTACTAAAGCTATCTCCTGGATTAAAGGTGGTCATTTTCTCCATAGTGACCAAGATATAAGGAACAAAAGAAATAGAGACCAAGATGGTTGCTAGAGACATGTGTCTCCCAAGGAAAATCTGATTTGTTAGTAGGGCTTCTGTTTTTTGTTTTGTCATAGCATAGCCACAGTGGATCCCAGAAAGGGGTAGGTGTCTGGAAAGCACAGGTGCCAAGGGATGAGGTATGGGTCCTAAGGAATTCTTCACCATAATCCCAAGCAAATTTGCAATGACACAGTTCCTTACAGAGGTTCTTGGCCTTGGTCTCTTGGTCTCACATCGGATGTACAGCAGAAGTGGCAGCTGGGGGGACTGAACTGAGACTGGAGAGCGGATGTCTGACACTCTCAGTCCGATTCTTTGTCCTTGGTTTAGGTGAGCTGTTTTCGTCCATCAGCATGGACACATCACTTAATTATGAAAGAGTTAAGTTAGAGACACAACTAAAGTGGTTAAGTTACAAAGAGGGTTGAGTAGCCTAGTGACAGTATTTTTACCCAGAGAATTACCAGAAGTTAGAGTATAGAAGCAGGAAGTCTATATTTTAGATCTCATTTCTTGGACACAAACCTTTTTGTTACAGGTAGGTTTCCCAGGTGACGCATTTAAGGATTTTTTGTTCTGCAGTCAGCATTCTGTGGCCTGGGCATGAGCTTAGTTGCTGATCTTGACAGTCTGAATCAAAGACTTACAGGAGATGGCCCCTGTAGGTAGCAGCAACCTGGCTTCCACTAGATTCACCCTGTTGCTTTAAAGCTTTTAGAAGAAGAGAAGTACTGATGTTGTTTATCTGTGCGTTTTGCAGAAGCGGAAAATGGAAGAGAGCGATGAAGAAGCTGTGCAAGCCAAAGTCCTACGGCCCCTGCGGAGCTGCGAGGAGCCCCTCACGCCCCCACCTCACTCACCCACTTCCATGCTGCAGCTCATCCACGACCCGGTTTCCCCCCGGGGTATGGTGACTCGGTCATCTCCTGGGGCTGGCCCCAGCGACCACCACAGTGCCAGCCGTGATGAGCGCTTCAAACGGCGGCAGTTGCTGCGGCTGCAGGCCACAGAGCGCACCATGGTACGGGAAAAGGAGAACAATCCCAGCGGCAAAAAGGAGCTGTCTGAAGTTGAGAAAGCCAAGATCCGGGGATCGTACCTCACTGTCACGCTACAGAGGCCCACCAAAGAGCTCCACGGGACATCCATTGTGCCCAAGCTGCAGGCCATCACGGCCTCCTCTGCCAACCTTCGCCCTAACCCCCGTGTGCTAATGCAGCACTGCCCAGCCCGAAACCCCCAGTGTGGGGATGAGGAGGGGCTAGGGGGAGAGGAGGAGGAAGAGGAGGAGGAGGAGGAAGATGACAGTGCAGAGGAGGGGGGTGCGGCCAGGCTGAATGGCCGGGGCAGTTGGGCTCAGGATGGAGACGAAAGCTGGATGCAGCGGGAGGTCTGGATGTCTGTCTTCCGCTACCTCAGCCGCAGAGAACTTTGTGAATGTATGCGAGTGTGCAAGACGTGGTATAAATGGTGAGCAAGGATACAGGGGATCAGGAATAGGGGCATGGGAGTGTGCGGCAGGTCTTCTGTGTGAGAGGAGCACGCACCTTGGCATCTGGAGGCTTGCTGGGTCTTTTAAGGAGTAAAGGAACCCAGTCTCTGGGTCCTGCTAAAGAGTCTCTCGTGTCTGCACCAAGTTAGGGGAACTTGGCCCTTTGCCTCCTCTTCCCACTCTGTGCTTCCCCACCATCTTCCTACTGTAGGGAGTGAAACTGATTTAGGGGTGGGTTTATGCAGTTTGTACTACAACTTCAGGGTCTTGCAGACCAGAAGCCTGTCTCTCGTGTGCTATTAGAGAGCTTGAAGCATGCTAGATACTGGTCTGGCTTTGTTGATGGATGGCTACACCTAAAGCCCATGCTCCATAACTTCATTCACCAAGATGAATGGGCATACTTTTCAAATAAAGGTGCTCCTAATTTTCCAGTTTTGATGCTTTTTGGATGACCTTGAGCTCATGATCCTCCTGCCTCCAGCTCCCAAGTGCTAGGATTACAGGTGTGTGTGCTGTATTGTTTCCAATTTTAAGCCTCCCCCATGCCTAAATCATCATTCCTTTCTTCAGCAAGCAGTGTCCCCTTCTGAAGCCTGCTGAGGCTTAATTGTCCTTCCTGCTTCATAGGGCCATTTCTCTTCAGGTTGAACAGAGACACTTGGGGAAAATTCCTAGAGCTAATGAATAAATGACTGTTGAGCATTATGGGATTTTCCCATATACTACAGGATATAGAACTTTTATCCTAGTCACACTCTATTACAGTAGTTCTCAGAGTTTGGCATCCTGACCAGCATTGTCTGTCTGGAAACTTGTTAAGACATGGTAGTACACACACATAATCCTAGCACTTAGGAAGCAGAGGCAGAAAGATCTGCAAGTGAAGACTCCTGTCTAAAAAGAAGTAAAGCAGATTCCCAGGCCTGTTGAACCAGAGCCTCTGAGATGGGTCCACCTGTGTTCTCTTAGTAGTTATATGCTTATTTAGGGACTTTGGTCTTTCAGTTGCTGTCTTCTGCCATAGACATTTCATGTGCCATTGGTGAAATTTTACCAATCGTTTAATTTTTTTTGAAAAGGCAAGTGGGCCTGCCAGGCTCTGCCCATTGGTTCTCAGGCCAAGGCATGTAATTAAACTTCTACTACATACTATCATCCTATACCCTGCCAGCCAGCTGAACTGGGGCAGGAACTATAAGATTTAAATAGAAGTTAAAGTGGTGTGGTGAGACCTCTCTTGTTGACATCTGGCCTGGACTGACGAGAAAATGTAAAGCTAGCAGTGAACAGATACCTGAAGGTGGAAGAGGGCAGACCTGATAACCCCGTTTGGCCTGAGACACTAATGGTCTCAAGGCAGATGTGTTGTGCCAAGTAGTACCCTGTGTCTCCCTCAAATGCAAGTGACAGGACAAGGAGTGTCAGGCAGTCAGAATTCAAGAAATTTTAAAATTTAAAAAAAAAACTGTATGAAAATGTATCTTGTAACCAAGTTAAAAATGTAATTGATGCCAGGCATGGTGGTACACACCTTTAATCCTGGCACTTGGGAGGCAGAGGCAGGCGGATTTTTGTGAGTTCAAGGCCAGCCTGGTCCACATAGGGAGTTCCAGGACAGCTGGGACTACAGGGAGACCCTGTCTCAAAACACCAAAAAAAAAAAAAAAGAAAAAAAAAAAATTATATATATATATATGTATGTATATATAAATAAATAAAATTGACTTAAAAAATATTTACAGCTGTGCATGGTAGCATGTGCCCTTAATCCCAGGACTTGGGAGGCAGAGGCAGAAGCAGAAGGATCTCTGAATTCAAGGCCAGCCTGGTCTACATAGCAAGTTCCCTGTCTCCCACGCACACACAAAAATGTTTTTTAATGTTTCCTAAATATACATTTCAGCAGGAGCCCATACCATTTTAAAGGAAGGACTTGTAGCATGCTGGTCCAGTATGTTATAACTGAATTGGTTCTCAGCCCCTCCAGAAGTCTCAGTGAACTGGCCAAACAGTGCCCTACTGAACATGGCTTTGCAAAGCGTCTAGTTACTGTAAAGGACAGGGCAGTTCTTGCCTGATTCTGAGGCAGAAGGTGATAGATTTTTGTTTTTCTGTAGGAAAACGGAAATGACGCTCCAGGTGCTCAGCTTTTTCTGGAAGCCTTCTAGCAGTGTCTTGGGAGCTCCTCTGACAGGAATATCTAATTAATGAGAACCAATTCTCTTCCCTCTTACAGGTGCTGTGACAAAAGACTCTGGACAAAAATTGACTTGAGTAGGTGTAAGGCCATTGTACCCCAAGCTCTTAGTGGCATTATCAAGAGGCAGCCAGTAAGCCTCGACCTCAGTTGGACCAACATCTCCAAAAAGCAGCTGACATGGCTGGTCAATAGGCTGCCCGGTAGGTGAAGAGCCAGACTTCCGTCCTCCCAGAGCCCAAAGGACCAGCAGTAGACACTGTACCAGTAGAGGTGTTGCTTAGAACTATTGTAGTGCAGTTTGGGGCAGCAGTCCTAATGGTTGCCTTTCTGATCAACAAGGCATTTACCCTGGGCCTCTGTACCTGCCAGTCTCCAAGGCATCACTGGACTGGTTACTGTACTAGATGAAAAAAAAAAAAAAGAATGAGATCAGGTGCTGCTGCCAGCTTTGCAAGTTTCCTAACAGACAGTGAGGAAACTTGAGTCAGATGTTGCCTTGATCAGCCCCTTGTTAGGTAGACCTTTAGCATCTGAGGTCTCAGATAGGAAGAAGCCACACATCATGTATTCTGGTAGAAGCTAGGCAGTTGGTTTCATTTGTCAGTGTACATGTGTGCTTGGAATGTATGCATGCATGCATTTTTTTATGTATACATGTAAAAGCCTGAGGTTGTCAGGAATCTTCCTGAATCCCTCTTCTAACATATTCATTGAGGCAAGGGATCCCTCATCTCTGTCTTCTGAGGCTGAAATTACTGGCAGGCCCCACGCACCCCTGAAATGTGGCTTCCTGTGGTCTGAATTCCAGTCCTCTGATTTGTGTGGCTAAGCCATCTCCCCAGACCTGCAGCAGTTGGCTTTAACACCAGAACAGAAGTTGTAACTTGGAGGTCTATGATACTATAGCAATCTTTGGACTCGATTATTAAAAGATGAGGAAGGGCTGGAGAGATGGCTCAGTGGTTAAGAGTACTGACTGTTCTTACAGAGGACCCAGGTTCAGTTCCCAGCATCCACATGACCGCTAACAACCATCCATCCATCACTGCAGTTCCAGAGAATCCTATGCCCTCTTCTGACCTGCATGGGCATTGCACAACATGGGTGCACTTAACACACATGCAGGCAATACACTAATGCACATAAGAAAAGACACATAAATAATAAATAAAAATAAGTAAAATTTTTAAAAACTAATAAATACAGTATTTAAAATATGAGGACATAGTCCTCTCCCATTAGACTAGCAATTGTAATCCATTCGTTTTGCTCATGCCAACTGATAATTGAGGCTTTGAATGCTTTCTTAGGCAGAGTATGTTGTATGTTTCCATTTGTTGCAGGACTCAAAGATCTCCTCCTAGCAGGCTGCTCCTGGTCTGCCGTCTCTGCCCTCAGCACTTCCAGCTGCCCTCTTCTCAGGACCCTCGATCTTCGGTGGGCAGTAGGAATTAAAGACCCTCAGATTCGGGACTTGCTGACTCCACCAACTGATAAACCAGGTATGCTCTGGCCCTGACTTCTGCGTGTTTTAGGGTAGCTTACGCTTTGGACAGACCTTGACACTAAGGTCTCAGAACTGAGCCGTGGAAAGGTAAAAGAATGCAAAGTGAAAGACACAGCAACAGACCATGTTCAAGTGCATGGTAACTATTTATAAGCAGATAACTACCACAAACAAACTCAGAAGTACATTCTGTAAGTCGTCAGAGTGTGGGACCCAGAGAACAGGAGCCCAAGAAAGTCTTAAGGCTTCATGTTTGGAGGAACCATCAAAATCTGTTGGCATGGCAGATGGTGTAGAAAATCATGGGGCTGTGTGAAAAGAGAGAGAGCATTCTGCACATAACTGTGGAGGTGAGGCATGATGGGCACTGGGAGGAAGAAAACTTGTCTCCTGGAAACATCTCTGCACACTATTCACTCCTGCAAGCAGGGCTGTGTGCTGAACCCTACAAGAGGTTTTATCCACAGAGAGCTGATACTGCCTGGGGCTTTGGACCTGGATTAGAGAATCAGAAGCCTTGATCTGAGCTCTTTTCTTGCCTGTGCAGGTCAGGACAATCGTAGCAAGCTCCGGAACATGACTGATTTCCGGTTGGCAGGCCTTGACATCACGGATGCCACTCTTCGACTCATCATTCGCCACATGCCCCTCCTGTCAAGACTCGACCTCAGTCACTGCAGCCACCTTACAGACCAATCCTCCAATCTGCTCACTGCTGTCGGTTCTTCCACTCGCTACTCCCTCACAGAGCTCAATATGGCAGGTATGTGCTGTCAAGGTATATTAAGTGATAGACTTGCTTTCTGGGGGTCCTAGCCCTCTTTGGAACTTGATGAGTAAGCCAGGGTTGGCTTGTGGTGGGTTGACTGAACCATGCTTGCTAGTTACATCTGCAAGAGGTTAGAGAAGTGCTTCAGCAGTTTTGAGCTTTTGCTGCTCTTGCAGAGGATCCGAATTCAGTTCCCATTACCCATGTTGGGCAGCTCACAACTACCTGTAATTCCAGCTCCAGATATTTAACACTCTTCTGGATTCTGCATGTGGTGTGTATCACACATACATAAATACAAAATCTTTTAAAATAAAATTCATAGCTAGGCATGGTGGTACACGTCTTTAATCCCAGCTCTTTGAGAGGCAGAGGCGGAAGGGTATCTGAGTTTTAGACCACTCTGGGTAGATACTTCCTTTTTCTTTAACCAATAGGAGGGCTGAGACGGGTACTGCTTAACTCAGGTGCCTTTCTTGCATGGGTCTTGCATCCAGCTGCAGTTTGGTCAGCTTAACAGCCCTCGTGCCTGCTTTCCCATGGTGTTGGGAAGATGACAGTGAGAAGCCTTCGGAGGCCACAGTGCCGATGACACTTTTGTTCTGTGAGCAAGGACTTAGGAGTTGAAAGGGGCATTGGTTTAGTGTTTTGAAGAAAGAGCTGGGCAAGCTGAATGGCAGAGGAGGACTTCTACAGCTGTTTGTGACCTTTACTCTCTTGGCCACTTTGCCCATAGGTTGCAATAAATTGACAGACCAGACCCTGTTCTTCCTAAGGCGTATTGCTAATGTCACCTTGATTGACCTTCGAGGATGCAAGCAGATCACTCGAAAAGCCTGTGAGCACTTCATCTCAGACTTGTCTATCAACAGCCTCTATTGCTTGTCTGATGAGAAGCTGATACAGAAGATCAGTTAAGACATGCTCAGCCCGGACTGAACAGGAAACTGATCTTCCCCTGCCTTCCCAAGGAGAGCCTCTCCCTAACCCTGTGCAGGCTGAGGCCTGCATCACACTCCCTCTCTGCTCTCCTGTCTCTGAGCCCTTCTCCCACAGGTGGGGCAGAGAGAATGGTGAACACCAAGCTCACCTGCCTGCTCCTCTCCTGAGGAAAAGAGAGGAGAGGTTGATCCGAGGAGAAAGCACAGACTGTGCTGTTCCGGTGCCTGCTAGCTTGCTCACCTGTTAGGGAAGCTGGGCTCTCACTTTGGGGGATTTGTGCATCCTTCACCTGCACTGGGCCCAGAGCCCTTCCTTCCTACTCATGGTCCCCAGCAGTGCCTGGTTTTGAGCAGACTCCAGGGAAGAAAGCGGCCCTGCCTCCATGGCCAGGTTCTCTTCATGGTGTCCGTTGTGTGTCTCTCCTCCGTTACACTCTCCCGGCTTTTGCAGGAGGGGCTAGCAGCCCTAGGAACACCAGACCTGGCAGGTCCCACTGGTGCTCTGTGAAATGTCCTAAGCCTAGCTCCGAGTCTGTTCTAGCCCTTCTTTCCTGTCCCTGAGCTTGATGCTATCCAACGCTCCTGCTCGTTCACATGATATACTCCCTAGTCTGATCCCCTGCCCTTCCCCCCACCCTCCAACTTTCCCACTAGTCTCTGTGAGGTCCTTGTTGCACTTATTGGGGTTATTAAAGTTCTTCAAAGGAGCTGGAACTGTATCCCCAGGGACATCCCATTTCATTGCTACCCAGGCAGATTCTAAGACAGGCACCCTCCCCTCCCCCACCCCTTGTGATTCCCACTGACTGCCCTTTTCCGTGTAAGTCCTCTTTCCTGCCTAGACAGGGCTTTCCCAGGATGTGTTTCTTCAGAGGGAGCAGCCTGTCTCTTCCCCTCCCCCCAACCAGGTGAGGGGAACGGAGGAGCACCTAAATCCCCACCTCCCTCCAGGCCAGGCGCTTCCAAGCCACTGGTTTAGCAGAGTCCAGAGCCCAGGCCTGTGCATTGCCTAGCAGCTCACTGACCTGGTGCCTTTAAGAGGGGAGGGAGTCCTGCTTGGAAGCCAGTCACTTACCCTCTGCCCGCAGCTGTGGAAGAGGGTGTGCATGTGCCTCTGTGTGTGTGGCTGAGTGTGCTGCACATGTGTGTGCAGGGAGGGAGTGGAGCATGGTGTCTCCCACTCTACCACCTTCTTCAAACCCCATCAGCTGCCCCCTTTTACTTTGCATAGAATGGCCTGTCCAAAGATCCTCTCTCTAGGGCAGCAGAGAGCTTTTTGCACTTTAAAAATAAAAGGAAAGAAAGGTTGGAATTCTTTTGGGTCAATATTTAATGAGGAGATGCTCAGCAGCAGCCTGTGGCAAGTTTATCAGTGATAGATGCAAATTTGCACTCTGCTCCCCATCTGTAGGAGATTGATAGCACAACCTTGCCCCATCTCTTCCTCCAGCCACACCCCTTCCCACTTCAGCCCCTTTCCTGTAACGCAGCCTCAGGCTTTCCTAAACTCCCATCAGTAGGGGACAGATTCCCAGGTACCATGGGTCTGAAGTGTGAACCACCAAGGACATAAGCTAACTGCACCCTTGCCACTGCCAAAGCAATAGAGGCAGAAGGGTCCCCTCTTTGACGCCATAGCCCAGCTTTGCCCCTGTCAGTAACCAGCCTTTTTACAGGAAAACTGGGTCCTGGCAGAGAGTGGCATTGTTTCTTCCAATCTGCCGATTCTCTTGGCTGCACCTTAAAAACCGCAGTCTGCTCCCATGACCCTCTGCCCATTTCATTGGTCTCTAAGCCCCAGGATTTTGGGGCTGAAGCGTTGAGATGCCAGTGATTTATTCCAGAGTGCCTCAGTTAGGGGGATTTCTCTGTAAAGAACCCTGGGTATTGAGCAAAAACTTATTAATACTATTATTAATGACCTATAATTGGAAACTTCCTGCCTTTTGTTTTCTTGGTTGCTCCTGTGGAAAATATTGCTAAGTTTGTCGTCTTTTTATAAAAGGGGAGGTGGAGAGACCCCTTCAGAGCAGGGATTGTGCCGGGAGAGTGCCTCTGACTTTGGAACAGTTCATCCACAGAAATTTCTAAGCTGATGGCTTGTTTTCGGTTTGGGTCTTTATGTTTGCATTTTGGTTTGGGGAAAAAAACAAGCATTTTTACCAAGGACGTAAATCGGTCAGTAGAAAAGGGAGCCCAGGATGGCGGCAGATGGACTGATGCCCTTGCTGGGTTTCACTTTTCTTTAGGACTGAGGGAGAATGGTTTTTAGAAGTGAGGGTTGGTCCTCTTTCAGGAGAGAATTGTTTTGGTTACAAAGGACCTGGGAGTTCTGTCATATTCCTGCGTCTGCTCTTAACCATGGTCTTGCCAGGAGAGCCTGCCCTCCTCAGTGCAAGACCAGACCTCTGCCTCCATCTTTCCACACACCGGGGCAAAAAACCAGAGGAAAGGAAGATTTATATATATATACATATATATATATAATATAAAATCACTTGGTGATTAAAAAAATAACTGCTCAATAAATAAAACTCCTAAAGTCACTATGTTTAAAGGGTTTGGTTGTGTTTTTTTGTTTTTTGGAAAAATATTGTAAATATATATTTTGTTGTTTATTTAGAGTCAATCTCCAATGTTGTGCTAAGATTTTTAAATTAAATACATGTAAGCATTAAGGGAGTAAGTCTTAGGCTACCACAGCAACACATTGGGATTATTTTGGGTCAGGGAAAGAAGGAAGCTAGTTGAACTTTGTTTTCTAAAAGTTCACTGTTGGTTTAAAAAGAGCAAGGATGTCCTCTGACACACGGGAGTGGGAGATATTTGTGTAATAAAATTTTTAAAAGACAAAAAAAGAAATAGCCTCCAATGGGAACTATTTTGATTTGGTTTTTTTGTTTTGTTTTTGTTTTTAAATAAAAAAGACTTTAAAAACAAAAACCAACCCATTTCTGCTTTGCTGTTGTATGTCTCAGAGGTTTTCAGAAAGTCCCCGACTGGTGTGGTCAAGACCAGGGATATGGGCGGAGGCAGAGCTGCGGCCTTGGCACAGCCCCCCATCCTCACCAGCTTTTTCTTGTTTGTGTCAAAAAGCAGTGCTTGCTTCATATAGGAAACTTTTCAGATTTTTAATGTGTGTGTTCTGCATGACAGTGAGTGTCCATGTGGCATAACAGCACATGCGCAGGTCAGGACAACCTACAGGAGTCTCTTTCCCCATGTGGGCTCCAGGGATTGCTCAGGTTGCCAGCCTTGACAGCAAGTGCCTTCACCTGCTCAACCACCTTGCTGTCCCAAACCAAAGTTAATAGATGTCAGAGTGCTTTAAATCAGCTTTAAGGTTGTCTGACTTCCTAAAAAGTAAACAGGCAGTGTTTGGAACAGTGCCCGTTACATGCAAGAAAACCCTAGCTGTGCTTTCCTGGAAATGGCCTTCATGTTCCTGATCCACAGCCCTGGTAGCCAAGACCAGGCCCCTCCTTGAGATACCACCTGCCTAGAGCCTCCAGGTAGGCTGTGGTTGGGATTATCCCTGCCCTCTACTTTGTCCATATAACAATTTGTTGCTTGGTAGGTTGAAAGGCTTCCCAATCTCTGGACACTATGGTCAGGAGCTCAGGAATTCCTGCTTATTCTGCTATCATAAACTGAAGTAAAGGATCCTCTGGTTCTGTGTGTTCTAGAAATAGGGCACTGGGTGATAAGCTGGTCTGATAGTTTCCTGAGGATGACTGCAGATGTGACCATGTTTAGGTATTACCAAAAGGACATTGTCGGTTTTGCCTCCCTGTTATCAAACCCTTGGCTTGATACTATCCTTGACATCTCAGTGGAATGAAGCCACCACTGTCCAGGACCTCAACAATGACCTCTTGTCCAAACTCATCTCCAAGTTAATAGTTTATTTCAAAGATTGACTTGGCTGCTACTGCCTGCTTAAAACTTCAATGTGTTGGGCCGGTGAGATAGCTCAGTGGGTAAAGGCACTTGTCACCAAGCCTGAGTTCTCTGTTTCATCCCCACATAGTCTGCACGGAATTCCAAGGCTGTCAAGCACCTAGGCTGTTAGTTTGGCCCCTCTTCACCCAGACTCTAATTTACAAACCTTTTCCTGTGTCTGGAATACCTCAGTTCCTGAGTCACTTCTCTGGGAAGCCAGCTCCCTTAGGTCAGGCTCATGCCCTTCAGGTCTGAGCTCTGTGGTGAATTTCAGGGCCAGGTAGAGACTGATCTTAAAGGAGTCCTGAAAAGAAAATGTTGATTGACATCTTCTAGGGCTTCCTAAGTGGTGGACCAATGGTGTAAGTAGGTAGGGACAACCCTACTCTCCCATTTAAAGGTGAGAAATGGACATTAAAACAGTTTTCCCAAAGTGACTTGGTTAGTAAAGCCAGAGATGGGCCTGTGAGATGGCTTCATGAGTAAAGGCACTTGCCAAGCCTGACAACCTGAGCTCGAGCCCCAAGGTCCATGTGGCAGAAGGAAAGAACCAACTCTTGCAAGTTGTCCTCCATCCTCCACATATACACTGTACCAACTGTTCTCCCCCCAAACGGAGTAAACAACCAAGGCGTGGGGGGGGGGGTGCGGAAAACAGCTGGAGAGAGGGCTTAGTGGTTTAGAGCTCTTGAGAGGACCCAAGTTCAGTTTCCAGCATCCACATCTGACAGCTCACAGCTGCCTGTAACTCCAGCTCAAGGGGATCCAAAGCCCTCTTCTGGTCTCTGGGGGCATACACGTTATACACATATATAAACATAAATCTTTGAATATTGCCTACATGTATGTTAAGGGTACCTGTGTCCTGCAATGCCCAGGGAGGTCAGAAGAGGGCGTCGGATCCCCTGGAGCTGGAGTTAATTGGACAGTTGTTAACCACCATGTGGGTGCTGGGAATCAAACCCTGGTCCTCTGCAAGAGCAGTCAGGGCTCTTAACCACTGAGTCATCCCCAGCCCCTAAACAAATCTTGTAGCTGGGCATGCTGGCACACTCCTTTAATCCTAGCACTTGGGAGGCAGAGGCAGCCGTATCTCTCTGAGTTCAAGGCTGGCCTGGTTTACTTGGCAAGTTCAGCCCTGGGTTTGGAGGTTGTTTTGTTTTGTTTTGTTTTTGGTCTTCTTGAGAGAGGGTCTCCCTGTAGCCCCAGCTGTCCTGAAACTCTCAGAGATCCGCCCGCCTCTGCCTCCCAAGTGCTGGGATTAAAGGCATGCAGCAGCATGCCCTGCTTATTATTTTTATGTGTATGAGTGTATTGCCTGCCTGTATGTAAGTGCACCCATGTTGTGTAATGCTGCGGAGGTCAGAAGAGGGCATCGGATTCCTCTGGAACTGGAGTTAAGGACGGTTCGTAGCCACCATGTGGGTGCTGGGAATCAAACCCAGGTCCTCTGCAAGAGCAGCCAGTGCTCTTAACAGCTGAGCCATCTCTCCAGTCCCACCCCCAACCTTTTTTATACTGATTTTGAGACATGGTCTCATTAAGTTGCCCAGTAGGCCTTGAAAACTTGCAATCCTCCTGCCTCAGCTGCCTGAGTAGGTAGGGTTACAGGCCAACCTCTTACTGATTTTATTATTTTTTTTTTTTTGGTCTTTTTGAGAGAGGGTCTCCCTGTAGCCCCAACTGACCTGGAACTCACTATGTAGACCACACTGGCCCTGAACTTGCCTCCTGAGTGCTGGGATTAAAAGCTTGTGCCACTGGATTTTTGTCCTGATGGATTTTTTTTTTTAATATTTATTTATTGAGACAGTGTCTCACTATGTAGTCCTGCCTGGCTGTCCTGGAACTCCCTATGTAGACTAGTCTGGTCTCCAACTCAGAGAGATTAGTTTATCTGCCTCCCGAGTGCTGGGATGAAAGGCATACTCCACCATGCTTTTTGAAGTTTTTGAGACAAAGTCTCAATATATATTGCAGGCTGGCCTAGAACTCACTGTGTAGCCCAAGTTGACCCTGAACTAATGATCCTTTAGCCTCCCTAAGTGCTATGATTACAAGTATGTATCACCATGCCCAGCTTTGAGTCCTATTTTTTTACGAGACTGATTTTTAAATTATGTGTATGGGGGGGTGCAGAAGCTAAAAGGTGTTGAATCTCCTAAAACTGGAATTAACAGGTGGTTTTATGATCCCTGTGAGTTCAAGGTGAGCCTGGTCTACATAGTGAGTTCCAGGACAGCTGGGGCTACAGGGAGACCCTGTCTCAAAAAGACCAAAAAAAACCCAAAGTGTGAGTGTACCTGCCCATGTGAGTGTGTGTGCATGTGTGCATAGGTTAGAAGAGG